GCCCCAAAGACTCCTTGCTGTTAGAAAGGATCACTGTAAAATTGAACATGGAGTCTAGCCTTATGTCAAGACTAAGATGGCATTGAAGCACCACGTTCAGCCTGCTCTATTTAGACACGGAAAGTGCTTCAGATTTTAGGCTTTCATATTACACGAAGAAGGTTTAGGCAACACAAATTTTTAGCAAAATCCACTTCTCAGCTTCTCCAAATTCACCCGAAGGACCACAGTCCGTTGTCCTCTCATCTCTCCTGGGAATGTTGCTGAGACATCTCATTGCTATTTTCAAATTCTGTTTTTAAACAGTCGTATTGGCACTTGCTATAAATACACCTCATTGTTTAGGTTTCCCCTTTCTTGGTAAAACAATGTTATTCCCTCCTCGGAACGTCTGGGGAAATCTTTTGGGTATTCAGCATACATTCGTGGCTACCTCATAGGTCTGCACTCTCACCTCATTGGGGTTGAATAATCAGTGATCTCTGCAAGTGCCAGCTACCCCTTCACACAGTTAACAGGCCCGGGATTTCAATGAGATTGATCCGATCACCCACTCCATGTATGCACTCTGATCAATTTTATTCAGAGTAATCCCTTCATCCTTGACTTAGTTTAGGTGTGGCATGTGAGCTGAGGGAATCTAATAAAAAAAAGTCCAAAACTTTAACTAGAGGGTTTGGATAAAAGATACTCTCTTCTCCTACACTGTTTCCCCGAAAATAAGACAGTGTCTTTTTTTTTTTAACATTTTATTAGGGGTTCATACAACTGTTATGCCAATCCATACACACATCAATTGTGTAAAGCGCATTTGTACATCGTTTCTCAAAACATTTTCTCTCCACTTAAACCCCCGACATTAGGTCCTCATTTTTCCCCTCCCTCCCCGCTCCCCCCTCCCTCATCAGCCCTTGATAGTTTATAAATGGGTATTTTGTCATATCTTGCCCTGTCCGATGTAAGACAGTGTCTTATATTAGTGTTTGCTCCCAAAGATGCGCTAGGTCTTGTTTTCAGGGGATGTCTTATTTTTCCATGAAGAAGAATGCGGTACACATTTATTGTTTATTGTTTTATAAAAGAGACCTCGCACTTCCCGTGTGCTCCGACTGTGCTGCGGCCAACAGTGAGCTGCGCAGTGGCACCCGCCGCTACGGTCCAGAGTTATGGTAGCTTGGGGGGGGGGGCTTATCTTCAGGGAGGTCTTATTTTCAGGGGGATGCCTTATATTTCAGCGAGAGGCAAAACTGTAAGTAGGTCTTATTTTCGGGGATGTCTTACTTTCGGGGGAACAGGGTAGAAAGAAGGAAGCATGTGGCCTCAGGCTCCTGCAGCCAATTTGTTTCCATTAGGGAATGGAGTCTTGGGGACAACACATGGAAAAGAAGGCCTGATAAAAGGCTTGCTTGAACAGGGTCTCAAGTTCAATCCCCCTCTTTATGTCTTATTCATATGAGGTAGCCAAAACTCTTTGCTGCTTAAGTCATTGAAGTTGGGTTTTCTCTTACTTAGAACGAGTATTTCTCAACTGGCATACCAAGCCACCTCTGACCTCAGGAGTTGACTACTGTCACCCCAAGAGGAACCCTAAGAACCCCAAGAACTCCAAGGGTCCAAGAACAGCTTAGTGCTTTCTGGCTTTTATTTCTCCTGTAGACATGGAGGGCCCATTGTCCTTTCTTTTCTTCTGTTATAACTTATATTTTTGTAGCAATATATATTCACAATTTAGACAGTAAAATCGTTCTTAAAAGGGAAAGAGACCTTCTACCCTCCAACTTTGCTCCAGAGGCAATCCCTGTCAATGGTTTTAGCTGTTTCCTTTGGTATTTAGATACTATTTTCTAAATAACATGATTATTCAACTTTATATGATTTTTTTCAGTTTTAGTATGTATTTTCTGTGATGAAAGAGGTGATCGTAAGATTTTTATAACTTTCCCTGAGACAAACACACACATACACACATTTCCCATCCCTTTATGCCCTAAAGGAAGTTATACCAGTTTATTAATTATACATCATACACTGTAAATATTATGTACAATTGAGTCATATTGTGTACTATGATTACATTTAATCACTTATACAAGTATTACCCCAGCAGTTAATACGTTCGTTTGTTTGTCTATGTAATTATCACTAATTTATGCCAAGCTCTACCAGAGATATAAAAATCTCTTCCATGTGTGCAGGGGTTTGTTGTTGTTGTTGTTGTTGTTGTTTGCCTTGGTCACATCTCCCCTGGAGTCTTCTAAGATTCCCACTGCAGCAGGGACAAGTTGCGCTCTTGGCCTGGTGCACACCAGCATAGTGGAACGTCTCCATCCTTCTCTCTTACATGGAATTCCTCCTTTCCCAAGGGCCGTGGTTTTTGCTGCCCTAATCTCTTGGTTTAGAAAAGTGCATCTTTCTGTAGTGTTCAGATACAAAGTTTAAGGGACAGAAGACTGTTGAGAAGTTTCACATCTGAAAATGTCTCTATTTATCTTCACAATAGCTTTCCTATTAGAACCCCAAACGTGTGATGGTCATTGACTAGTCCTCCTATTTATGAAGAAGGCTCTACAAGGTTGGTTAGATAGTCACTGTAAGTGGGAGGGGCTTGTTGAATTGTGGGCTCCAGCTCCCCAGCTGCATCTGTCAATCTTGTCTTTTTAATTAGGCAGTTCTCCCATAGAGGGCCCTGCAGATTCCAGCTTTGGCAGAGTTCTTGGCAAGTTTCTGGGAGTTGCCTGAGAGAAGGGCGCTAGAGCTATTGTTGAAATGTGAACACGTTTCCTTACTCTCTCACTAGAAGTAGGGCAGTTCCAGCGTTCTTGACTGGAAACCAAAAGGCTCCAGGTTCGGTCCACACAGAGGTACCTTGAAAGAAAGGCCTGAAAATCTATTTCTGAAAACCGGCCATGGCAACGCTGAAGTGCAGCTGTGCTCGGACACACTTGGGATTATTGTGTCAAAACTTTTTTTTAAGTTTTTTTTTAATAGATACCAGCTTTATACCAACATCTCCCTCCCACCTACCACTGTGGCTAGAGCGCAAGTCCAGGCAGAACATCTATACTGTGTTGTGCGAGTGAGGCAGGGCGGGGCTCTGTGGGGGAAGAGTAGCCCTTATTCAGACTTTCGATTAGTCTTCCTGGAGGTGTCTAGAGGTGGGTGGTGAGGAACACACTGAGTCAACATTTTCAGACAGAGGTTTTTAAAACGCTCATTAGCTGGATGAACTTGAACCAAGTTCTTCATTTACCCAGTCTGTAAGCTGGAAATTCGGGACTTTGGTGTGAAGTAGATGCCTACTACACTATGCCGAACATGGAGAGGGTGTTCGTTGCTACAACAGCAGCTATGATTCTAAGCCATGGTCAGGGGGCAGAAGGACCTCCCCTTCACCAGCGCTTTTCTATACTTTCTGAAAAGGGAAGGCACTAACACCCTACACGTATTCTACCAGATACTCATGGGATTTCCGTGGTACCATCATTTTTGTCGCTTGCTCTCCCCCCACCATCTTCCTGAGTGGTTAATCCAAACCCTTGGAGTTATACCTTCATTTGAGTACCCATGCCAATGAACTAACCGGCAGGAGTGTGAACTACAGTGATGTTTACACACTTATGTTTCAAGAGTTAGCTTGAGATACAATTCCATATTCTCTCTCCCTGTATCCTACACGGCCACTTTTCCCTAGAGCAGAGGTGGAAAACATCCGGCCCTTGGAACGTAAAAGGCCCAAGAAATCATCAATACCAGCTAACTTCACATGCCTCGCCAGAAGGAACAAGTCCAGCCATCACATTAGAAGTGAATTCACTAAATGTTTGCCCACATAGAGCAAGATACTTTTCAAGCTGATAATTTTGTATGGCCTGCGAATGATGTTACAAATGGCTAAATGAACATTGGCAGAAGATAAGGTTCCCACCCCTGCCCTAGAATAATGTCCCAGGTCCACTTCCTGTACTTCCTTTCCTTCCTAACTCTGGCAAGAGATTGACAAAGAAAACATTCTTGCCTTCGGCATACTCGAGCCTACTCCCAGAATAAAATGAAAGCTATTCGGCCCTCTACATTTCATTATTTCTTTTGTACCTTAACCCTTCCCTCTCGGTTTCTTTGGGGCCGTTACTCTGCTCTGTGATAGGCAGCCTTCCCCTTCACAGTCAAAGCATTTCCTTAAATTCTTAGGATACACTTCCTATCTGCTCTGCGTCTTCTGGTGCTCTTGCAATTGGCTATTTCTCAATAGATTGAAGCTGGAAGGGGAGCCGGAGGTTGTACGTGAGGCTGTCTTAAAGCCGAGAATTTAGAATCCCTGGTGGGCAGAAGAGGTAAAACTGATCAACATTCGCACCCACTGGACTTAGCAATTTGTCCTCGTCTGGCATTTCAGAATTCAAGACTAATAGGGATTTTTCCTCACTTAAACCCAACCATTGAATATATAACTAGTGAAATGTTAAAAGGAGGTCTTAGAAAGGTTGATCCCAGAAGAGATCATTGAAATTGACGAAATGGTGAAAGTACAAGGTTACCTGTAGGCTTCTGTATGAGTGAAGGTGGACACAGATACCAAGACCAAAATCAAACCAACTCACTGCCACAGTCAATGTTGACCCCTCAGCGACCCCCTGGTGGGTTTCTGAGACTGTAAGAGTTTGCAGGAGTGATAAGCCCAGTCTTTCTCCTGCAAAACTGCTGACGACGAGGATCACAACCATTGCACCAGCACGACGAGGATCACAACCATTGCACCAGCACGACGAGGATCACAACCATTGCACCAGCATGACGAGGA